CCCCAAAACCCCAAAACCCCAAAACCCCAAAACCCCAAAACCCCTTCCTCAACCCCTCAATTGAACTTCCCCACTCCACCCCAAAATCTTATCCTAAACTTATCCACTCTTAGAAGACCTGCTTGAACTATCACTACTTGAACTCGAAGTTTGTTCCTTGATCGTGACCCGTGGCTTGGCTGTGGGATTGGGGGATTTTAGGAGTTTTTTGTGAGGAATTTGGCCTTGGGTCATTGGGCGTTTTTGGGGTGGAGGATGGGAGAAGGTGGATGGGGTAGGGGGTCTGGGGGGTGGGAGGACTTGGGAGGAGAGTTTGGAAGGACGGAGAGAGGAGAGGGGGGTTTGGGGGGGTTGGGGTGGGTTAGTGCTATGTGGTTGTGGTGGGGGGGTTAAGACCTTACCTAACGGATTTGGAGGGTTTTAAGATACTAGATTGTGCCTGAGTGATAGTCTACTATGGTGATTTATGGAAGAGTACCTTTGAAGACTGGTTATACTTTTGAAATAAGCTTTTTAGATTTTCTTGAAATAATTTTTGAATCTCTTTCTTTTCTTCCCTATCTGTTTTCTCCATCCTTATAAGCTTATAGTAGGGAAGTTTATGAAGGCTGATTTCTTTTGGCTCAAAGCATCTCTTTACTGATCTTTTGATAATCTACATTTAGACTGGTATTTACCATTCCTTTTCTCGTATGCAACTGTTTATTTTGCTAAGAAGGGATTCACTAACTTCGTTGCACTTTTTATTCTATTCTTGAGATGTTGGGTTCTATTTTAAACCATCAGATGAAAAATACTTCATTTTAGCACATCATTTCCGGACGCTTGAGGTTCTTGGTTGAGATTCTAGCAACTGTTGCATCTCTTGCCCTTCACGCTCAAAAATATGGGTGAATCCTTTTATGCTCTTTTGGAATCTAACAGCTTAGGAAGAATTAACATACGTTTTATTTTGAGTCTTGGTAAATATTCCTTGTCTTCATAGTCGAAGTTGGAGAGAATTTGTTGAAATTAGTCAAGTCTATTGTCTTCTTCCAAGAATCAGGGTCTCTATTCAATCCAGAGTTTGAAGAAGTGCCTTCAAGTTGTGTCTTTAGAGATTTCTGAGTGGCTAAAGTCCTTTTCGCATTAAATACCTTCCTCTTTCAAGGAAGTGCAGTCAGGCTATCTCTACTTTTAGACTTTGTGATTCTAGGAGGGACAATTCTATTCAAGAAGCATTGGATTTCTATCTCCTTAAGCTTCTTTTCCAAGTCTAGTTTCCTTTGTAGTTGAGGGTCCATTAAGAATAATTATCTAAAATATTGATTTAAGGATCATGGGGTTTTGGGGTTTTGGGGTTTTGGGG